GCAGGTGGGATTTGAACGAGGCGAACTTGATCTCAGAGCAGAGCTTCCCTGACGAGTGCGTTTCTCAGCCAGACACGCTCCCAGACACCCCACCCTCCTGCCACACACCGTCTCCCCCGCCCCCACCCTTCCACTGTCCTCTGGGTTTCCCAGATGTGCCTCAGCCTTCCGGCCTTTGCTCTGGCCATCAGGGCCACCTGGTGTCTCGTTCCCACCTCCTCCCCGCCCCTGCCTGCCTTACGAATGTCTCGAAGTTCAAATGATGACTCACCTCCATCCAGAAACCTCTCCTTGGGGACAGGAATCACGTCTTGTTCATCTTTGCAAAAAGGCATGATGTCAGAGCGCAGCCCTTGCCAACAGCTTCCTGGCTGCGCCCGGAGTCAAGCCCAGACCCCTCCCCGCAGCCCCCGAGACCCGCCTCTCTGATCTCCTCTGCCACCCTGGCCTCTCCTCCTCAGATTCCTCCAATACGCCAGGCGAGGTCCCACCTCAGGGTCTCAGCTCAAAAGCCGCCTCCTCAGGGAAGCCCGCCCTGACCACCCCGTCTGAAGTAGCAGTGTACTGCCCCCCCCACCAATACCAAATCAGCCCGCAGTCGGCACCAGTACATGTGAAAGTGAGAACAGCCGCAGTTCCAGGGCAGTTACTCCACACAGAGCCCTCGTCCAAATGTGGACCAGAATGAACTCATTTCAGGCTCAGAACAATCCCGGATAACGTTATTATATCCATTTTGCAGAGGGGGAAACCGAGGCACAGACAGTGGGAGAATGACATGCCCAAGCTCACACAGCTGGCCAGGAGGGGAGCTGGGATTCAAACCCAGGAGGTCCAAAGCCTCCTTGGCCACCCCCGATCCCTCTCCATGTACTGTTGGGGGGACCCCATCTGCCCCCGTTTCCCCACCCCATCCCCTCACACTGCTCCTGTCTCAGTCTGCTCTGGTTGCTAGAACAGAATCCCATGGACTGGGCGGTTTAAACAACAGGAATTCATGTCCCACAATTCTGGAGGTTGGAAGTCCACGACCAAGGTGCTGGCCGATTCGGTTCCCGAAGTGAGGGCTCTCTTCCCGGTCTGCAGAAGGCAGCCTTCTCGCTGTGTCCTCACGGGGTGGAGAGAGAGTGAGCTCCGGCCTCTCTTCTTCTTGTAAAGTTACTAGTCCCATCATAAGGACGGCCACCCCATGACCTCCTCTAAAGCTAATGACCTGCCAAAGGCCCCACCTCCTAAGAGCACCCCATTGGTGATTAGGGTTTCAACATATGGACTCAGTCCACGGCACCTCCTCTAATGTCAGGAGGCCTCTATCTCTGCACCCACCTCTCTCAAACATCCCTCCCCACTCCTGGAACTCCTAATTCTGCAGAGTCCCAGCCGCCTTGCTGGGAAGGAACCCTGGATCCACTCCCTGCAGGCAGATCAACCCTAACCCTAACCCCTCGATGTTCTGGAGACATGGTTTCCTCCTTTGTCCAATGGGAACAACCTCCCTGCCGCCCCAGTGTGCTGGGGCAGGAGCGATGTCAAAGCCAGTGTGCTAAGAGTCGGGGGAGTGAGGCACTCACTTCTGGGGCAAAATGCTAAGGAGGCATCACAAAACTCAGTCACAATGACAAATGATATTTTCACGTAATTTTGAAAACAATCTAAATGAATGCAAAAAGATTCATGCTGGATAAATTTTCAAATTTTTAAATCAAGACAGGACCACTCATAATGATTAGTTTTCTCAGCTGAGGCTCCAAGATGGTACTGTTATTGATACTGTCTTGATGAAAATTTTTAATATCTAGTTCATCATGGATTTTTTTTTTAAAAGATAGGGTCTCACTCTGTCACCCAGGACAGATTATAGCTCACTGCACCCTCAAACCCCTGGGCTCAAGCGACCCTCCTGCCTGAGCCTCCCAAGTAGCTGGGACTACAGGTGCCACCACCACACCCGGCTAATATTTTTCTTATTTTTTTGTAGAGACAGGGTCTCACTATGTTGCCCAGGCTGGTCTCAAACTCCTGGCTTCAAGCGATCCTCCCGCCTTGGCCTCCCAGAGTGCTGGAATTACAGGCATGAGCCACTGGGTCCAGCCATTGGTATTCATTTTGATTTAAACAACTGCATTAAAATATTATTTATCGGCCGGGCGCGGTGGCTCACGCCTGTAATCCTAGCACTCTGGGAGGCCGAGGCAGGCAGATTGTTTGAGCTCAGGAGTTCGAGACCAGCCTGAGCAAGAGCGAGACCCCTTCTCTACTAAAAATAGAAAGAAATTAGCTGGACAACTAAAAATATATACATAAAAAATTAGCCGGGCATGGTGGCACATGCCTGTAGTCCCAGCTACTCAGGAGGCTGAGGCAAGAGGATCGCTTGAGCCCAGGAGTTTGAGGTTGCTGTGAGCTAGGCTGATGCCATGGCACTCTAGCCCCGGCAACAGAGTGAGACTCTGTCTCAAAAAAAAAAAAAAAAAGAGGGCATGCAGAAGCTCAAAGAATATTCATCCAAGTCCTTCCTTGCATGCATCCTTCATAGCAGCCATAACAACCTGAGAGGCTGGGCTCCCGTCCAGGCTGTTTCCTCTGCCTGGGATTGCGTTTCCTGTCTTCACCAGGAAAACACCACTCATCCATCAACACCGACTTTGTCTCCACCCAGACTGACCGCCCTCGACCACGCGGCCCTCCACCCTCCGGCCTTCTCTCTCTAGCCCCCAGACACCTGGTGACCCCCTTTCCCCAGTCCCGACTCCAGGTGTCGTGGAATATCCCCAGGAAACTCGGAGCTCTGTGCCCTTGAGCTAAGAACAATTATCTTGCCGGGCCTTGATTCCTCCCTCTGAAAAATGGGAACAGTTGTAGGGCTGCTTCGTGGGCATTGCAGGAGGAAATGCTTAGTGCCTGGTAAGCTCTCAAGAAATGTGTGCTTGACCAAGCTGGTGGTGCACACCTGTCGTCCCAGCTACCAGGGAGGCTGAGGCAGGAGGATCGCTTGAGCCCAGGAGTTGGAGGCTGCAGTGAGCTGTGATGACGCCACTGCTCTCCAGCCTGGGTGTCAGAGCGAGACCCTGTCTCTAGAGAAAAGAAAAAAATAAAAAGGAAGGAAGCTCTTACACAGGCTACCACATAGATGAACCTTGGGGACATTGTGCTCAGTGAGAGAAGCCAGACACAGAAGGACAAATCCTGTGTGACTCTACTCACAGGAGGTCCCTAGAGTCATCAGAGCCACAGAGACAGGAAGTAAGATGGTGGGTGCCAGGAGCTGGGGAGGGGGTGGGGAGTGTGTTTCATGGGGACAGAGTGTCAGTTTGGGAAGACGAGAAACTTCTGGAGGTGGAGGGTGGTGATGGCTGCACAACAATGTGCGTGTGCTTAATGCCACCCAGCTGTGCCCTTAAAAAGGGTTGAAGTCATAACTATTGTTATGTATATTTTACCATAGCAATAAAAAAGGTGCCCAGACAGTAAGTTGTCGATTTAATTATTTTTAAGAAATTGCATCTATGAAATATAAAATGTATATTACACGTGTAAAATATCGTATAATAAAAGTATATAAAATATTGCATCGCCCCCTACCCCAGCCCAGTGTCCGGGCAGGTCCGGCCCTTCTGGCTCCGTGGACGCAGGCCCTTCGCGTGGCCACCAGGTGGCGCCGCCGCGCCTCGCAGCCGGGCCGTGGGGGGAACATTTCGCGCCCTCGAGTGGGCGGCGCGGAGGCGGCGCGATGCGTCAGCCGGACCCGCGGGCCGGGGAGCCGGGGGATCCGATCCGCGGGGCCGAGGCCAGGTCCCGGGCTGGCGGAGGAGGGGACGCAGATGTGAGTCAGCCGGGAGCCCCCAGTCGACCGTGGGAGACAGTCCCGCGGGGGCGGCGGGGGGAGCCTGGCGGCCGTGCCTGGCGCACACGCGTGGCTGCAGCACGCACCAGCCTGTGGCTTTGGGCAGTGGCGGCCTCCCGAAGCCTCAGTTTCCCCTTTTGCATAATGCACATAATCATCGCCCCTGCTTCCCAAGCCCTTGGTCACATAGAATCTAATGCGCGAGGAGGGGGCGCCTGGCGCACGTTGCGCACTGGACACGCGCCGGCGCCCACCCCGAGGGAGGAAATAAAAGTGGCACCTCCAGTGCAGGCGGGGTGGAGGTGGCGGCGTGCAGCGCCGGCCAGAGCCATTCCCCGCCGTACCTTCTCCCGAGCCTCGGTTTCCCCCCACGGTCAGGGGCGCACATACGGTCAAAACGGGGGGGGGGGAGGCTGCGCCACCTGCGCCTCCCACGCGCACCCCTGGAACTCAAGGGGGTGGGGAGGGGGCGCCCGGGCTCTCCCCCAGGGCGCCTAGGACTTTGCAGGTCCCACCAATAGGGACCCCGAGGCGCACAGTTGGTGCTTATTGAGCGCTTACGGTATGCGCTTTATTGTATTTAATGCGCTCTCCAACCCAGTGAGGCTGGCGCGGCATCCCCATTGTTCGGTGGGAACACAGTGGCCGGGTGACGTTAAGTCAACCTAGGGTCTCGGGTCGCCCCAGCCGGGAAAGACCCCCACCCACCAGCCCCCGGGATGGATCCGGCTGCAAAAGGGTCACCTTCCCGGTGCAGCCCCCCAGCAGAGCTTGGGAAAGGCACGAGCCAGGGACTCTCCGGGGACCAGGAGGGGATTCCAGGCGCCCCCCCAACTCCCCGAAAGTCCGAGCCGCCTCGCGCCCTGGAAATCCCGCGCGCGCCCTGAACCGCGGCGCGGCTGCCGGGAAATCAGGAGAAAAACTTCTGCTTTTTTTTCTTTTCTGGCACTCGCCGCCACCCCCCGCGCCCTCCTCCCGGCTCTCGCCCCCACGTGGGCGCCCCCGCGCGGCGCTCCGCCCCCTGCCCACCACCGGCCAACCGCGGCGCCGGCTGCGCTCGCCTTTGTTTTTCCGCCAATAGGAAAGACGAACTGCCTCGCTGAGGCCACACCCCGGCCCTCGGAGTCTATAAAAGGCGGCGCCGGCGGCCCGCGGCTCAGATCTCAGAAGCCGACGACCTGTGTTTGGATCTGCGACTGCGGGGATCCCTCTTCCTAAGGACTTTGCGATTTTTTTTTTCCGCCTTTTTTTGGGAAGATTTTGCTGCCTCCCGAAGATCTTGGGCGAGCGCTTCGGCTCCGTGGGAAGGTTTTGGGCTGTCTGGCTCGGATTTTGCAATTTCTCCTTGGGGACTGTCGTGGGGCCGCGTCCACTGTGGATTATAACTGCAACATGACGCTGGAAGAGCTCGTGGCGTGCGACAACGCGGCACAGAAGTAAGTAACCGGGGCCCCCCGCCGCCTGAGGTCGGCCAGGCTGGGATGGGCCTGGGGAGCGGACCGGAGTGGCCCGCCGGGCGCTGAGCCTCCTCTCCCCCGGCCTCAGGATGCAGACGGTGACCGCCGCGGTGGAGGAGCTGCTGGTGGCCGCGCAGCGCCAGGACCGCCTCACAGTAGGGGTGTACGAGTCGGCCAAGCTGATGAATGTGTGAGTCAGACCCCCTCCCCGGCTGGGCGCGGGTGGGGACCCCCTCCGCTCTGCACACTCCCCCTACACCCTCGTCTTGCACGGGGTTGGGACTTCCCCAAATGTCCCCACTGTGGAGTTGGGGCTTTTCCGCTATTTTTTTTGGCGGGGGGCTGCAGTATTATAAGGCTGCATCTTCTGCAAGTGCTTTCTCCCTCTATGGTCCAATCTCTTCCCCCCAAGACTTTGAACCGTGTCCGCCCTCCCCCCACCTCCATCAGCCTGCAGAGGCAATGCCCTGCACCCGTGCGGTTTTCCTCTTTTCTCGTGCACACTCCTTTTTTGCATGCACGGTGGCCACTCCCCAGCCCCCAGCTGACCCACCCCCTCCTTCTGGCCCCTTCAGGGACCCAGACAGTGTGGTCCTGTGCCTCCTGGCTATTGACGAGGAGGAGGAGGACGACATCGCCTTGCAAATCCACTTCACGCTCATCCAGTCCTTCTGCTGCGACAACGACATCAACATCATGCGGGTGTCTGGCATGCAACGCCTGGCACAGCTGTTGGGGGAGCCGGCCGACACCCAGGGCACCACCGAGGCCCGAGACCTGCACTGCCTCCTGGTCACGGTGAGCTGGGCCTCTGCCCCGCCCCACCCTGGGCACCTGGGTCCCTGTTTGTCAACAAAGTCAGGCTGGCCTGCCCTGCACCAGCTCAGCGTTCAGCCACGCTCGGCACGTCCCGTGGGCAGCCCGGCCAGGGCCTCCTCACCCAGCGAGTTATTTTGAGTCTGCCTGTTTTCCCCAAACAGGAGCCTGGGGAGAGGGAGGCGCCCACTAAACCCCTTCTTTCCCCACCCACAGAACCCTCACACGGACAGCTGGAAGAGCCACGGCTTGGTGGAGGTGGCCAGTTACTGTGAAGAGAGCCGGGGCAACAACCAGTGGGTCCCCTACATCTCCCTCCAGGAACGCTGAGGCCCCTCCCAGCATCAGAACCTGTTGAGTTGCTGCCAAAAATAAAATAAAATAAATATTTGACCCCCCTCCCCCCAGAACAACCCCAAAACAACCCAACCCATGAGACCATTGGGGGCAGAGTCACTGGAGACTGAGGAGGAGGAGAGGGGAGTGTGCGACCACCCCCAGGGCAGAGAGCCGGGAGCAGTGCCAGACGGCAGGGCGGAGGCCGCCGGTCGAGGAGAACGGGTGCCCAGGCCAGCAGGAGATGGGACCCTGGAGCTCAAGCCTTGTGACAGAGCAGAAGCCGGAGTGGGGGAGTTGCTGCCTCCCCCATCGCAGGAGGTCTTGGACTCCACACCTGGAGGGTGGGGTGAGATGGATGGCGTCCCCCACCCTCCTGGAGACGGGAGCTGACGTCTGCAAGACGAGAGACTTGGCTGACCGAGGGCATGCGCCCTCGACGGGACTACACTCTGGGACTTGGGAGCTGGGGCTGCTGTTGCTCTGTGCCCAGGAACTCCCAGTTTGCAAATTACATAGACAATCTATTTTGTTACTTGCACTTGTTACTCCAACCACTGAAAGAGATGCGAAGCTTGGAGATACATATATTTTTATTTCTACTATGAGGGCCTTGTAATAAACGTCTGAAGCCTCTGGGTTCTTGTATATTTTCTGTTTCTGAGAACCCCCGCCCCCCCCAACAACCCCGTGTCCTCTAGCGCCACTCTGGCCCCCCCCAGCTCACCAGGAAGTGTGACTTAAGTCCCTGTTAGCAGTTCCAGCCTCCTTTGCACAAACAGTGCCTCTTCTCTCTGCGGCAGGCGCGCCACCACCCAGCTCCAACAAATCTTTGACTCTTTTTTTTTTCCCTTCTCCTGCCCTGTAGCAGTTAAGAGACCGGTTTATTACGAAACCTGGCCCCCGTGCCACCGCTGTTACTGGCTGTACCGGAGCCAACCCCAAGCAGCTCTGGGCACATATAGACGGGCCCCGGGGAAAGGGGGGCGGTGCTGGCTGCAGCCCCTAACTGCCCAGGTCCGGAGGTCAAGGGGGCACCCGGGGCCACACAGCGAGGTGGGCTCGGGCCAGGTAGGAAGAGCTCCTTTGGGGATCCCCGGGGAGGGGAGCCCCCCTCCCCCCCAGGCTCTCTCCTTCCTAGGATGGGCCTCTTCCCTGCACTAGAAAAGACATTTTTTTTTCTTTCCCTAACCTAAAATCAACAAGCAGAAAAATACCCCAGGAAGTCGGCCTCCCGGCCCAGCTGGGCTTGGCACGCGGCTGCGCTTTGCTCTAAACTGAAACTGAGCCCGGGCCCCGCCACCTCCTAGTCCTCCCGCCGCCGCCGCGCGGTGACGCCCCCTGCCCCGGGCTAGGGGCGCGGCCCGGCCCTTTCGCCCGGCCTCAGTCCTGCTGCCCCGGGTCTGCGGGGTGGGCGCGCCCCGGCCCGGCGCCCGAGAGCCGCGTCTCCCCTCCGTCCTGCAGCGCCCGGGGCCTGGGAGCTGGAGAGGAGTCGGGATGCGAGGGGGGGCCCTGCCCGCAGGCCACGACCTTTCCACTGAGCCCCGCGTGGGCGCGAAAGGAAAACCCCGACGGCTCCCTGGGAGTCACGGGGCTGGGGGGAGCCCCGGCGGGGGAGGATGGGGGAGGGGAGGAGGGGGAAGTCCCAGAGGGAGAGGGTGGAGGGGCTGGGATCCCTCCTGGGGCTGGGAGGAGGGGAGAACCAAGTGGGGAGACGGGCGCCCAAGAAGGAAAGGGAGGGAAACCCTCAAGCCGAGCCAGAGCGGGTAGGGGAACCCCCGGGGGGAGGGGCAGGAGGGATCCCTGCAGGGACTGGGGGAGGGGAGAATGGAGGGGAACAGGCGGAGCCCCCGGAGGGGGAGAGGGGAGTCCCAGGGGGTTGGGAGTGGGGTGGGGAGGTAAGGGGGGAACCCCGAGGGGTCAGGGCACCTGCAGGATGGAGGGGCTTGGAGATAGGAGGGAGGTGGGGAGGAGGATCTGTCCCCATCCTGACTCCAGCCACCCAAGATGGTTGTGTGACCTCTGGGTCACCTGAACAGTGAAGGCAAGACCCCAGGCCCCAAGGGGAAACAGGACATGGGTGGGGCCCCAGTGGTGGGACCCTCAGCCAGAATCTTAACCTGTCCGTGCCTCATTTTCTCCTTCTGAAAAGTGGGTATAATAATGCCACCTGGACGGTATTAATAGATTGTTAAGGAGACTAACTGAAATATAGATTCCTTTGACTATGTTCCTTCAATTATTCAATTCTTTCAATTATATTAATGCTTCCAACACAGAAAGTATAAAAAAGCTTAGCCACTGGCAATGGCTCATGCCTGTAATCCCAGCACTCTGGGAAGCCAAAGGGGGAGGATCCCTCGAGGTCAGGAGTTCGAGACCAGCGTGGGCAACATAGCCAGACTCTGTCTCTAAAAAAAAAAAAAATTAAAAAGAAGGTTCTCCATTATTATCAATGCTATTATTATACTCCATGCATTTCCAGGGTCACCTTTCACCCTCTCCCAGGTGCCCCACGAATTTGCAGAGCCGGGGCTAGCATCCCGCAGCCAGGCACACCACCTGTGCAAAATTAAAAACTCAGTTGGCAAGACCAAAGAATATCTTCAATCAGTATTCCTGAAATGCAAATCAGTGCAAAAAGAAAATCTGTGGTGAACAGAATTTCAAAACTGTAAATCAAAACGGAGTCAGCATTGCTGATTTGCTGTTCTGACTCAGGCTCTGCAGCCAGAGTGCTCTCGACTGTCACCCGTGTGAGCGTGCAGGACTGTGGTTTGTGTGTTCTGACAGTAGTTCTCCCATTATTATTACTACTGCCGTCGTTGTTGCTGCTGTCAGCCCAGGCATATACAGGAATCAGCTCAAATGCTGCTGTTTCACTGGATGAGTAATAGCAGCTATGCCTTTAATATATTCAGTCCTCCCTGGGGATAAACTATAAACACCCTTAAACTTGACCACAGCCCTGTAGCAAAGATACTGTTGGCCCATTATCTAGAAGAAGAGACCAAAGCTCAGAGTGGAGGAGCCACAGCCTGGCCAGCCCCTGAGGAAGACACAGGCTGGGAGGAAGGGGGAGGTTGCACCACACCCGGCTCCGCCCCTCCCCCACCTCAAGTTCACTCTGGGGCAGAGAGAAGTTGTCACAGGTCACCAAGGCTCCGTCAGCTGGCACAGGCCCTGCTCCGGGCTCCCATCCTCAGGACTGGGTGCCAGATGCTGTGTGTGTTCCTTGGATGACGATGAGCAGGAGCGAGTTGGCAACGGCAGCCTTGGCTTGCAGATGGCCAGGCTTCCCCAGCTGGGCACGTGTGGTCGGGGTGCATGCTCGCCTTGGGGTGCCCGCCCTCGCGCCTCTGTCTGCACTTGCACCCACCGGCCTGAGACGCGCGCACGCACACGCCCCCTCTGCACAGTTCTACGCACGCCCAGAGACATATGCTCACGCGTACACACACACACACACACACACACACACACACACTCACTTACGTCACATGTGCAGGGACACGTCATCTCTTGCATGAGGCTAGATGTGTAAAGGCAGATGTCCTCCCTGTCCCCACGCCCCAATAGTTTATGGGTTTCCAGTTGTTTCCCTGAACTCAGGGAAGCAGGGGCGGCCTTGTGAATATGTCACAGGGCACTTGGGGGCCAGCTGGGGGAGCAGGGAGTGAAACAGCCCAAATACGACAGAGACGTTGGGGAGGAATAATGTAATAATAGCTGGCCTTGCACGGGGCTAGCCCTTCACCCTGGTATTTCTCTTAATCCCTGCAAAACCCCTACAAGATAGACACTATTATTACCTGCTTTTTGCAGAGAGGGAGCAGAGCGTTCAGAGAGGTGTGGTGATTTGCCCAAGGTCACACAGCTAGACGATTGCAGAGCCAGGAATCAAACCAAGGCCAGCATAATTCAAAGTTAGAACTGTTTTACCATATTTACACACTTATAATGTATATTAACATAATAACATGTTATTGAGATAGAGTCCATATACCATCAAATTCACCCCCTAAGTGAATTCAGTGTTCGACTCAGTGGTTTTTAGTATATTGACAGACTTGTGCGACCACCACTTTTATCTGATTCCAGAACATTTTCATCACCCCAAAGGAAGCCTCGCCCCTTGAGCAGTCCCTCCTCATCTCCCCTCCCCCAGCCCCTGGCACCCACGATTCGACTTCCTTCCCCCTGTGGATGTGCCTGTTCTACACATTTCATATCAATGGAGTCATAAAACACGTGGTCTTTTGTGTCCTGTGTCTTTCACTTGCGTACCATTTTGGAGGTTCACCTGCGCTACAGTTCGTGCTGTGTCTGCGGTCCCCAGCAAATGTGGCTGGGGACACTAGCAGTACACTAGCACTCTCTCGTGCGGACAAGGACGCACACACGGGCGTTCAGAGACGTGCACGCAATTCATTCAGTGAGCGCCCCACATGGGTGGGCATCGCACGCACCCCCCGGCCCCACACACTGTTCGCACGCTCGGCTCTCTAACCCGCGGCCGCTGCACGTGCTAGATCACTCCTTCTCTGCCTTTCCCCGTGCTAATGCCTACTCACCTTTTTGTTCTCATCTCAGATGTCACCTCCTCTGGGAAGCCCTCCAGAGAGGACCCTGCAAAGACTCCCTGCTAGCTCTGCCCACCTCCCCCTCTTGGCACCTGACTCCATTTGTAATGACGTATTTGACACTGTCGTTATTGGCTTCTCGTCTATCTTATATTCGGCTGCACATTCCCAGAGAGATGGGAGAGGGTCTGTTTTTCTCACCTCCAGACCCCCAGTGACCAGCTCAGTGCGTGGGATACAGCTGGCACTTCATAAGTGCTTGTGGCATGAAGACTCAACCCAGTCCTGTTCAATTAGAGATTGACCCATCGATGACCTTCTGTGTCCAGGCTCCAGGACAGACCGTTTCGTTCCTGAGGGACACTCACTGGCCTGCCAAGTCCTGGGTCCTGGCCAGACACAGTGACACCACTCAGCTCTGGGAGGCTGGAACCTGGCCCTGTGGAGGTGGCCAGCTGTGCCTCTTTGGGCTCAGTTTTCTTATGTGTGCAATGGGGACACTAACGGCAGTGCCCATCTCTTGGGACTGTCGTGAGCATTAATTAAACTATGTAAAGCATCGAGAACAGTGTGGAGTTTCCAGAAAAGTTAGCTATTGTTACATGAGTCAGGGCGCGACTGTACCCCATGCAGGCCTTTGTATCTGTGCACAAATAGCTACCTCTCCACTTACCTATGCGCTGGAACTTGGCTCTGAATCTGCACACGGTGGTGTGTTCGGGCATGAGAACGTGTGCTGCTATGTGGGAACCCAGCAATCCATGTACACGTGTGGAGAGTCCCTGCGGCGAGCTCTGACCAACTGGGGTCCCCTGATTGTACGCAGACCCCTCCTGCCTCACTCCGATTTGGAGGGGCAGCTCTGTCAATTCTGCATATAGCTCACCTCCCACTCCACGGTGGCCCCAGGGCATAACCTCTGAGTAGGAAGCTTCTGACCTGGCTGGTGGACCCAAGGACGATCTATTTATTCTAAGCTGTCAGCATGGATGGCCACGTGGACACACACGCACACATGTGGGTAGCAGACACATGTGCAAACGCACATGGACG